CATATGAATTTTTTTGCATCAGTCGATCCAGCTGAATCTCTTCATTCATAAAAACATATATTTTGTCGGGCGATTTTGCTTTCCTGAGCAGATACAGCCATTTACATAGACATATCTCAATTCCACAGCGCAGTCACACTCATTCATACGAATTGATCAGTTAACACATTTTTAAGAGGGTATAATGATACGTTTATATTCTTATCTTTATTCGTTCAACCATTATAAACACAATGAATGGAGTAACATGTTTGTTCAACTATCTTCGAACAGGAATATTTGAAAAAATCGTGCATTTGTTTAATCTTTGTTGAGAAGGAAAAACTTTCATTATTGAACAACATGCGAAACATTTGTGGAACAGCAAAGAACTCAGTATACTTTGATGTTTACCATCCTTGCATCGCTGGATCTCACGATCCTGTTATCTCATGATCCTGTTAGCCTATCCGGTTCCCGGAATAAGCTGACAGGATCATGAACAAGTTGAAGTCTCAATTTTCACTAAAAATTTGGAAAGAAATTTTTTAAGAGTTACTCGCTTGCAATTCCAGATGGCTGGCCAATGTTACGGCGACTATCTGCAAGCCTACAACTTCAACTTCGATGCTCATGGAAGGCTCGCGAGTTTCAGCATCTTCTTTAGGGCGGTGCAAGATTCCAAGAATACTATGGGAAGTTCATGCGGGTTTGTGAATATTGCAATATTCTCATCCGTTGCAGCCTCATATTCGCAGCTTGCAAAACGAGAAAAAGCATTCTGTAAAGAGTCTAGCACTGTAAAGAGTACATGGGTTAAAAAGCATTCTGCAAGCATTACCTTTGTGATATCTTTATGATATCTAAAGACATCTTAATGGTATGTAATTCTTTACGTTATCTAAAGGATCATCAGGAATAGTGAATCACGAGAGGAATTTGAAATACGGAATTAGAAAGGTTGAATCGTAAAATTTAGAATAAAGTGAAGGCGCCTAGTGAAAATATGCTGAATGTAACATACAATACATATGCAAAATTAGCAGATGTTGAATCTCTCAAGATGATGCTGTAATGCGAGGAAAAAAGAATAAGATCTATTTAGCACAAGATGAAATTTAAATCATGAATCTTTATGATGTATAAAGAATCATTACATATGGGCAGATCTGTTAAATAACAACACAGAAGAGATCATGCCCACCATCTGAATTTTCCTTCCCATTTTCTTCTGATTGTGCGGTGTGAAATGCGTTCCTTTAAACGTTTCCCATAGCCGTAATTATTATGCTTCAATATTAACTGATGAAAATCGACATTCGAGATGTTGTTTATTTGCTCTAATACAGATTAATATGATTAGTGAAAATGATGCGATCTAATATGATGATTGCTAATGTTCTTCTTACTATTAATTGTTATTGTAATCATAGTGATTATTATCAGTAATCGGCCTCATAAGTGATTAGTATTTCAAAGACGATTAGCATTCTCATATTATTTATTTATTTATCCATTCAGCTAATTAGTATACCTTTCGTACATAAGCCTCTTCAGGATCGCTCCAGTTATTACTATTATCACATTTAACTGCTCTTCTCACCGACGTTTAACCAGCTATTTTGTATATATTGTCTGGCCATCTCATTTTCGGTCGACCCCGTCTTCTTTTTTTCGATACTAGGCTGCCACTGTACACACCTCTTTGCCCAGTTGTCATTGTTCATTTGCACCATTTTTCTTGCCCAGTTAAACTTGCTTTCACAGAGCCCTTAACTTTCGTTACCCCTCTTAGTCATTCATTCGATTTCCTGTCCAGTAATGTCACCACTACCATCATCCTCTCCATCCTTCTTTGGGCCACACTTTCCATCCTTATTAACTTGTCGTAGTATTACAAAGTGTTATTATAATGGTAGAATTATTACCTTCATCATTATTCGAGATGTCATTTCTCGTGACGATCATTTCAACACGTTGTTGCAACAAATTCATGAATCGATTATATACTATTACTGATCACGGTTAAGTTAACCCAGTTTATTTCAAGTTTGGCAGAATTTTATCCGTTGATTGTGTTGCTGTTATGTCGGCCTTAACTATATGTTTCCGTTAGATTGTGGCTGAACAATCGTTTCATTACGATTGCATTGCAATTGTTTTAATAATTTTTCACGTTTCAGAGAGCTGATTTCAAATTTCAACGAATTTTAGTCCAAAGATTCTTTCTTCTACCAATTTCCTTATGGTAGAGTTGTGCAAAAAAACAAAAACTCAGAAACAAATACGATCAACAAATTTCACTGGATATAAGAAATATTTTTTCAGCATCGCAACATGATCAATGGGAGTTCGAGTGAAATGAAAGAAAGCATAGTGAAGCAACTTTCGAAATAAAATATGCAAATAACTCAGTTAGGCGTTGGAAATGCACAACAAATATTTGAATATTGCTCAATAACTTAGCAATTGTTTTGGTAATTTTTAATTTACAATCTTTATTTGACCAAAATGAATCTGGCTGAGCGCAAAGTTCATTTGTGCATGATTGCACTTGTCTTGTGTGGTTGGTGCTTTGTTCTGTTGAATTTGCGAAATGATTTGTTTAATGAACTGTTTTCTGGTTGATTGTGAGCACATCATTTCAAAAAGAATGCATTGAACGTGTCACAAGTCCGTATTCCAAAAGTTTCTCAACTGAAAAACGATCCGACAACTAAATCCCGGTACCGGGATTGAGGAAATGATCGGGATTTTGCAAACCCTACACGTTATGCTCTTATCGATCTGTTACTGCTAACAATGATCATCAATATTGTCATCTTCGACCAGTAACCTATCAATTTCTTCACACAAATGAATCGATCAGAACGCTGAATTTAGAAAAATGTATATTTTGTAGGACGATTTTGCATAGTTGAGGAGATATAGCTATTTTATTAAAACTATCTCAAGTAGCGCTGAGGTGCTCATTGATATGCATTTGATTACTATAGATCAATAGATATTATACAATACAATAGAAATATAGTTTTTATGCATTCAAGCCTACCGTCTTCTCAAGTTTGCCCGGTAACATTAAAATTTTTGTACATCATTCGATCGAGCAGAAGCTCGGCTTGCTAAAAATGAAAATCTTGCCGAGAAATTCTGCCTCTGCGAGGAGATATAGCTATTTTCCTGATGCTATAGGGGTTAGCTCATTGAAACCTACCGTACTCTCACAACTAGATAGCATTTACTACAATTCATATTATATTATTATTCACAGTTTATTCACACATGATTATAATTCATCGTAACTCACTAATTATAATTCAAGTAACATAACGTTCAGGTAACATTTATTCAGACATCAGCAATCGACGGATCGGTGATGTATGGAAACGCCTGGCTGCGACGTAGAGCAATCACAATGACATTTACAACGACGCGACGGTGGCATCATATTTTTGTCGTGCTTCTGCTCCTGGCAATACTCACCGTGGTGCATGTATTATTGGTGGGCTCGACTGTCGATCTCGATCGGTACCACAGAAAAATCATCAACGTGAACGGCACGTCTACTGCATCCAGTGCAATGGACGGGCCGTCTACTGCGTCCAGTTCACTGGACGGAACGTCCAATACATCCAGTTCACTGAACGGGACGTCCACTGCATCCACTCAAGAATCAGAATCGTCAGCAAAACGTTCGTAATTTCTCTCACTTCCTAAATTTTGAGCATTCATAAAAACCAGTGTATACGTGAAAGGTTACGATCTGATTGCAAACAATGAGATTCTTTTACGTTTCCTGAGGTAGCAGTGGATTTCACTTTGTTGTAGCCAAAGCATCCTTAAGTTCATCGGGCCTCATAATCATATATGGGATGATCATTTTCATACATCAAAGACCATTCCAAGTAAACTAATACTCCTGATTACTTCTAACATTTTCAAAAAAAGAAGAAAAAGGATTCAGTTACTCATCGAGTGTAATGCGATGCTAAACAAAATCAAAAGCTATCTTGAAAATTTTCAGCACCTCAATCGCAACTATTGTACTACAATTATAGTGCATTCAATTTTCTCCGTCTACCAATATTTCAAGATGCAGTAGAATGCCCAAACGCAAACGTACACTTCATCATACGATCTCATCCAAAAGCTGTTGACGATAGGCAGTTTGTTCGGGGTTCGTGGGGTCAAACCTTGAAAAATCACTTGGTGAGTTCGGTTCACCATTGTGTCATCAACATACCGAATGTTTTTAAATTGTACTTTACCTATACTTTCGCTCCCAAAAACTTAATGTACTGATACCAAGGATAGTTTATGCAAAATATAGTTCGAGTAGCGCATCGACAATGTTTTTAAACGCCATTTAACCTCTGGCGATTGGGCAGCAGTTTTGGATACTAAAGATGGTGTAGCAAACAAACAATTGTTACTGAAATGGAAGGAATCAAGGGAGGCGCAGTAAATCTTTTGGACTGTTGCATAAAACTTTCCTACGAAACAGTGTTTTCCAAAAGGGTTAGGAGGCAACATCTGTTGAGGGAGCGTGGTCATTGTATCGGTGGAGGACGACGCAGGTTTTCAATTCATTTTGGGGGAGGGGGTGAGGGAGGAGGATGGAGTGAACGTAAAGAAGGGGATGGCGATGGGCATTTCTTCATTTTATTCTACTTTTCCAAAAAGTATTCAACAATTGTGTTTCTGATGTGTTATTTTGTGAACAATATCTAAAATTTATGACAATGATGAGCTTGCCAAATGCTCGAATGCATCTGATCCGTTACGGATATCTGAGGCGAAATTGCTTATGCCTCACATGTCACTGGGCGCAAACGTGTGGCTGATGCAGTTCACATTTAGATCAGATTACAGTTTGTTCTTCCGTATTGGAGCCATTTGTTTTTGGGTTCTTTCGGATAACGGAAATGTTTTGGCAACCAAAACATTGTTTAGGTTGGGCTTTATGAATCTGAGGTGAGCATATGAAAACCTTTAGTTTTCGCATTTTCTCCCACTATATGAACTGGTAATTTCGTTGAAATTTATACATTGGAAGTAACATACGACATAACACATGACACCTATTTACTGTGGTCTTTTTTTGAGATTGATAAGGTAAACGGCTCGACAAAGGTTCTCAAAATAACCACCTATTTTCATATTTTTACAATCGGTGCGACCAACTTCAATAAAATGATGAATGCTTGCTTGCAAAATTCGTTTATTATGTGTTTGATCGGTCAAATATGGGAGGAAAGACTCTAGAATAGAAGGGCACTGAGAAAAAAGTTCCTGCCCAAGAAGGCATCGGTTGAAAAGATGTTGGAAAACACTGCGATAAATCATGTCAGTGACGATGAAATTGAGAACAGACTACTTTTTTTTAACCAAGGTAATTACTGCATTGTTCATACTTGCGTTCTTTTGTGATGGTGAATACGTTTCTCTCGGCCGCCTGTCAACTAATACTACCAAAAACCAATGATATATGCAGCAATATCCAAATGAAGGATTGCGATACTTCAGACATTTGTGCTTGGCAC